TTATTTTTCCCATATCAATTAACAAAGGTTTTTGTCGAAGGCAAGGATCTATGGGGCCATGTTGATGGCAGCAAACCTGCTCCTGATAAAGGCACAGACCCGAATCTGTACTCCAAATGGGAAGTCAAGGATGCCCAAGTAATGACGTGGATTCTCGGATCTATCGAATCCAACCTTGTCTTGAACCTCCGACAGTCAAAGACTGCTCTTGAGATGTAGACTTACCTTAAGAAGGTCTACAGTCAGAACAACACTGCTCGTCGTTCCAACTTGAACTTGATTTGGCCAGTCTCTAACAGGAGAATCTATCCATCTCTGATTTTTACTCTACCTTCATGAATCTTTGGCTGGATATATAGACATTATCTATGCCACTTTACCTTCCGAAGGTCTTAGTTCCATTTAATCAGTCCATGAAACAACTAAGAAAGCTCAGTTTCTTATGAAACTAAGATCTGAATTCGAAGGCATCCGATCTAATCTTATGAACCGAGATCCTGTCTCCTCACTGGATGCATGCCCCAATGACTTATTTCACAAAGAACATCGCCTCCTCACTCAAAGTACCATGGAAGACCATTGCTCCACCTCTTCCCCTGTTCATATGGCTTTTGCAGCAAAAGGCAAGTTAAGAGGCCGGGACATGAGCACTGTCCAGTGCTTTAGTTGCAAAAAAATTGGCCATTTGACTTCTAGCTGCTCCAAAAAGTTCCAGGAAATCTGAAATAACGTGTACAGCTGCCGTTGGCTCTTCTAGTGAAAGTAATTATGTGGATACAACACCTTTGACATAAAGCACTCCTACTCCTGTTCATCCACACTCAATAAAAAAATTCCAACGGTGACTCCTAAATAAAATGATCCAACAAGTGATCATTTCTGAATTCTCTGCTTTAGGACTTTCAAGTAAACCCTTCTCTACATCTTCTCCTTGGATTTTTGATGCTACTGCCGCCTCAAATCATATGACAAACAGCACCAAAACTCTTACCAATGTACACAAATATTTTGGAAATCTTGAGATTCATACTGCTAATGGTAGTTCTTTACATATCACAAACACGGGTGATTTTTCTCCTTCTTTAACCAATGTCTTTGTGCCTCCAACCCTTATCACTAATCTTGTTTTGTTGGTGAATTGGTTGAAAAGTATTCAAAATTTGAATTCTCTAAATCTGGTTGTATTGTGCAGGATCAACAATTAGGGAAGATGATCGTGAGGGGACTAAAGTGGGACGTTTTTTTCCTTTTTCTTTACCTTCATCTCCATGTTTTTCATTACCTTTTGTCACTTGTAACTCTGTTCATGTTGATTGCCAAGCATGGTAAAACATCTCGGACATCCAAATCCTAATGTACTTCATAATTTGCTCAATTATGATCTAGTCGGGAATCACTTTCACTTAATGTTCAATTTGATTGCAATTCTTGTAGGCTTGGTAAAAGTAAAACACTGTTGTTTCCTGCACACACACTGAATATTGTCCATCCATTTGATTTGATACATAGTGATGTGTGAGGTAGGGCACCTGTTACTTCTCATGTAAAATCCCGAATTTTTTTTTCATCAAATAGAATTATTAATTTTATATACTATATTTTTAATATTTTGGAA